TCTGCCTTTAGCTCAGGTCATGATCTCAGGGTCCTGGGATTGAGTCCTGCCATCAGGCTCCATGCTCAGTGGGGAATCTGCTTCACCCTTTCTGTCCCTTCCCCTGCTCGTGCTTCTCTCTCTGTCTCTCAAATAAATAAATACAATCTTAAGAAAAAAAGAAACAATTTATTCTTGACACCACAAAACCCACTGACTTTTAAACAGGAGAATAACATGTTTAGACATGTACCTGGGCGATGGGTTTGAGAAACGTGGATGATGGACTTGAGCCTGGAGAAATGGTGGTCAATGAGGGAAGAAAAGGTAGATAACAGATGATGAAGGTTGAATGCGGGATGTCAAAAAGCGAGGCCATTGGTGACACACAGGAGGCTGTAGGAGGGCCAGTCCAGCATGTAGTAGAAGTTTCCTGTCTGGAATGCCCAATGTGACCTATAGACAGCCTAGAACCCCGATCCCCAGGAAACCAGTCCTGATACCCCGATGTTCAGAGGTAATGGGCAGCGTAGCAAAAATAAGAATGCAGATAATAAGTAAGACTACTTCTCTTACTTTATCCATGACCTAACCTCCTCCCACTGCCCACCGGATCCTTCTCAATGACGAAAGTGAAGACGAGCCAGGAACAAATACTCCTCGTGCCTTTCTGTGAAGTTATGTGTTTGTGTGTTAGACTGAGATTAGCTTTTTAAATATATTTCTATTCTCTGTTTGTTGATGTTGCTGGGGTCAGCCAGGGGTGTGACAGTGCTCCCTCTAGTTGCCCAGATTATCCAGTAAGTAATAGTGGCAGCCACACTCAGTCAGCAGGAGGTTAACAAAACTGACAAACTCACACAGATGCACAGAGCCTTGGGAAGGCCTGATGGACAGCTAGCTCCAACCATTATATACCAAATTATTTATCTTCTATCGGGCCATGCTGCCGCAGTTCCAGATCCATAATCATCTTGTAGCCAGAGTGATAAAGATCTGCAGAGATCAGGACGGCAACAGGCAAACCCCTTCATAACAGTGAACAATGAAGATAAACAGAGACACCAGAGGTATCCATATGCTACAACAATATATTATCTTGTCCCTTATTTTAGTGACTGCAAGTTGGAATTTTTATTATTACTCTATTACTATTACTCTAGAATATCACCTTAAATTGGTCAAATTTGGAGTCGTTTTGATAAAACATAAAATTGGCAGGCCCTGGCAGGATGTGGGGGTGCGGGTGCAGAACGATGACTCTCAGGTCACCCCCCTGTGGTAGTTTGGTCATGGAGGCCACCACCAAAGGAGATATAAAACAACAGGCACAGGGCAGCCCCAGTGGCGCAGCGGTTTAGCACCGCCTGCAGCCCAGGGTGTGATCCTGGAGACCTGGGATCGAGTCCCACGTCGGGCTCCCTGCATGGAGCCTGCTTCTCCCTCTGCCTGTGTCTCTGCCTCTCTCTCTCTGTGTGTGTGTCCCTCATGAATAAATAAATAAAATCTAAATAAAAAAATAAAACAATAGGCACAAATTTGGTCACACCTAATGCCGAGTTCAGGTGTTTGGAAACAGAAGTCCCCCTGTGCCCCAGGCTGAGGCACAGGTGTGAGAGCCACAAGCAATGGGTAATGGAGAGGACTCCAGAGAGCAGCCCAGTAGAGCAGTGAGAGGAGCCGCATGAGGACAGGGATCTAGATGCAAACCTTCCTCACTCCCCACTCAGGCCTGTGCTGCTGTCTGCCCCTCTGCAGGGAGGGTCAGGTGGTGGCTACCCCGGGCCTTTAACTGCATCCACTGACTGGTACCAGCTTGCCTCATGGCTTTCCCTTTTTTTTTCTTGGAATATTTACTCCCCAAAGGTAACATGCAGCTGGGGCTCAAGACCCTTCGTCAGACCAAATTGGGCTGCTGGGGCCCTGAGGGGTCTGTTACATCAGTGTTTATCCTCCATCCCCCTTTCCTACGCACAGATTGTTTTCTTGTTTCTTTGTTTTTCCAGGGGTGGGAGGGGGATGTCGTTGGGATTATTAACCTCTAATTTCTATTTTCTGCCTGCTTTCCTCTCCCCTCAAGTCCTCTGTACGAGCTGTTGCCTTCAAGGGGCCCTTGGGGGATGAGGGAGAGGACTCACTCAGGGCTCGCCTCCGCTGTGTCCATCCTCCCTCTGGAAGGGAGGAGAGGGAGGGCCTCAAGGGCCTCAAGCTGGGCTCTGGGTGAGGCCTGGCCCCCTCCCAACCTTGGCTCTAGACTGTTACTCCCAGCTTTGGGACGTTTTCATATCGATGACTATTTTAAAATTAAAGCTAGGGATCCCTGGGTGGCGCAGCGGTTTGGCGCCTGCCTTTGGCCCAGGGCGTGATCCTGAAGACCTGGGATCGAATCCCACGTCGGGCTCCCGGTGCATGAAGCCTGCTTCTCCCTCTGCCTGTGTCTCTGCCTCTCTCTCACTCTCTCTCTTTCTCTCTGTGGGTGTGTGACTACCATAAATAAATAAAAATTAAAAAAATAAAATTAAAACTATTTTACTGACATGGCAAAAAAAAAAAAAAAAAAAAAAAAAAAACCACACCACATGCTCCAACGGAGCAGGGATTATCACATCCCCTCAGCCTACAATGGGTGTTGGCAGCTGTGAGGAGCTCAATAAATGCTATGAAAATAAAATTCAAGGGGCAGTTAGAGATGGATCTGAGAAGTACTCAGAGAAGTATTGTGAGCATAAATGTCAGATCAGCATGGAGTAATTTCCAGAAAAAGAAGGAAACCTTCCTTGGATACTCTTGCCCACGGAGGTAAGGCCATCGGATGACCCTGCTACATTTCTTCCTGACCCAACTCACACAGGAGGCTGCAGCTCAGTTCAGGATAGGGATTTGGTTTACAAATGGTGGGCTTTTCTTTATAAATGGTGGGGTTTTCGCCTAGCCCTGTGGCAACGCCCAGGGTTTCCTTCCAGCTTCTCCTCCTTGTGATCTGAGGAGGACTGTAAGTATGTTGAGTAACTGGGTTTCTCTAGAGATGAAGAACACATGTGTCCATCTTCACTACGGCCTCCTCACTGACTGAAACCCCATCTCCAATAATTGGAATCTAATGATTCTTCAAAAGCTTCTTGCCAACAGCTGCCTGAACTGAATTTACTGCCGTGGGTTCTGCTTACTGTGCTCCGATCACTCTAGGAATGCTGCGTTGTGTAATGCAGAACCCTCACATTGCTGAGGGCTTGCTCAAAATGAGATAGACCATTCTGAACCTCCGTGATTTATGGTAGGGAATGGGGCAAGTCTTGCAGCACGGGGGGGTGGGGCGAGTAGTTCAGGCCACCCCATCTGTACGTGGTTTGAACACTGCTATGTCACAGGCTTTAATTTTTTATTCTACCCAGCAGCTCTTTGTGCAATCCCTATTTCAAAACAAGTCCTATTATACTTAAAATAGGCTTTCCAAAGAAACTTTATAAAGGTTAATAAAATTATTTGCAGATTACACTGCTAAAAATGTTGTCATAATCAAATGTATGAATTAGGATATGGTAGTGAGTCTGAATTAACTCTAAATGAAGGCATCCTGATGTCATTTTTGGCATTTACTCTTCTTCCTGTACAAACAGCCTAGAATCATGAGTAAGATCAGGGTACCTATAAAAACCATCATGAAGTTCTATAATGTTTGTCATTTACAAAAAGCATGTTTCTATACACACACATACAGATATATACACACCCACACACACCTTTTATCCTGCTTTAATTACTAGGTAGGCACATTTGTATCTATCCATTCATCCACCTATACATACATCATTTTAAAAATAAAGAAAGGATTGGTGCTAAGGGGACAGCAGGAGTGTGATTTCCTACTGCTTTCAGGGACAGGACCAGCTGTGAACAAATGGAATAATCCACTACCCGCTGGATGTGGCTTGAAAGTCCCTGAAGTAGCTCCGTCTCTGACACTCCTCCACCGTGACCAGCAGGTAGCCAGCAGGGCACTTCAGCGAGGTCACCACTTACTTTCTGGTGAAGAAACAGGACCCAGACAGGTCCGTTGTGCTGGGTTTTGGAAAGGTCTGAGCATGCAATACTACCTGATGATCCCTGGGACACTTAGGATGAAGAAAACAAACAAGGCCAGTCAGGAGAAGCTGAGGAGAGAAAACCACAGCCCGGGAGCTCAAAGAGAGGCCCAGGCTGTGTGAGACTGGGAGATGCCAGGCTGCAGACACCCTCCTGCCTTGCACTTGTCCACCACTAGCCCTGCTGGACTTGCTGCTGGCGTTTATCACACAGCCCTGAGGGGCTCATGTCCTTCCTTAGACGCATTGCCAGAGGACCTCATGGGATTTCTCTTCCTACTCTGAGGCTGACAGCGATGGGAAAACAGAGTCCACTCCTCTGACATCAAAGCACATTTAAGAAACTGTCTGGGAGAGTAATCAAACCATCATGAATCAGATGACCTGATGAGCAGCTACCTGCTGAAGGTGAGTTTGAGAACGAATGTTTAAAGTGAAGACAGAGTGTATATATCAGACATTGAAGTGAGATCTGCCTGGGTCTAAATCAAGCAACAAGAATATCTTAAAAGCAATAAAATAAAAAACAGTACACATATAAGAAAAACTAAAAGGTCTTCAGTAACTTAAAACCTTGATTTGCCTAACTCTCAAGATTCACTGTTCAGTATATTTGAGTTTAAGAATATGATAATCCATATAAATAAGTTAAAGATGTGAAACAAACTTTGCCTTAGAGTATCACGTACTTAAATATCAAATGTGGCTGCAAAATATATATACATTCAAAATCTTCACCAAGGAATCATCATCAAAAAACCCCACGATTATCTGATGATGACTATACAATACAATGTTCTACAATAAAATGTAGCTGCTGTTGTTAGGAAGCCAGACCAATATCCCTTGTTTACTTATAAACCATTAGTACCCCTCTGGGGGCAGGGGGACCCCCGACACGTCAGAGGCAGCAGGTGGGCACGTGGCACAGGGGCTCACCTGGAGGATGGACACTGTCTGGGAGAAGTGGTGCTGCTCCATGGTAGAGGTGGAATAGAGAGCTGCCAGAGGGTGATCGAATTTCTGCAGGTAGCTGTTACTGAAGCCCCTGTGGTCCAGGTCATGACACAGACACGCGATTAGCAGTCCTTTGCGCTTCAAAAAATAACACAGTGGACAGATGTTCAAAACAAGGAAATGGATACGAAGGGATTTACAGCTTATCACTCCTATCATATGGATAGGCTCCTGCCATTCCAGTAGCCCACATCCTTAGGAATCTTTAAAATTCCAGATCATCTAGCTTCTTTTTTAACCTCTTTGTTTTTCTGCTTATGAAATTGACAATCAAATTATTCTTGAGTTTTCCAGCTCAGCTCTGGGGTGGTTATCAAATTAATGCAATGTAATTCCCAAGAATTACAGATCAAGCAAATCTGCACAAGGGGGAGGACAGTTTCAGTCCTTCATTCAAAAAAATCCATCCAATGTTAAATTCCAACGACACTATTGCTATTAAAAATAAATAAAGGAACATGACAAGTAAATCACATGGCATGTGACAAAATGGCAAATTGTACAGGGAGAGAGAGAGAGAGAAGAGGCAGAAGCAGGGGAGGTGTTAAGAGACAAGGTGAGCCACAGAAAGTCGATGTGAGCAGCCTGGAGAGTGAAGGAGAGAAGCAAGAGGTTCGGGGAGAGGAGCACATGGGTGCTAGCTCTTGCCCATGAACCTGCCCTAATGGTCAATCAGGAAGATGATGGGAGCTGTGGCCAGAGGACGGAGAAGAACAGCAGAGAGGGGAGACTGAAGATCTTAACAGTCTTAAAAACCCTGTGGTCCTTCCCTGGTTCCTGCAGAAAGCAGGGAAGGACCACAGAGTTTTTAGCAGAGAGTGATATCATCTAACTTACATGTTTTAAAAGATTACCATGCTGGCAACAACGGTACTGAGAACAGACTCCAGGATGGGGAGAGAGACTGTTTGAGGAGGCTTTTGTAGTGAATCAGGCAAAAGTTCAGACCAGAGTGATAGCACTGGGGGCTCAGAGGACATGATTAAGTCTGGCTGGGTTTTGCAGGTCACAGGATTTCCTGAGGGTCCGGGTGTGAGCCAAAGGGAGGGCAGGGAGAAGAGGAAGGAAGGGAAGGAAGGAGTCAGGCCTGGCTGCAAGGCATTTCACCTTGGAAAGTGTAGGACTGTCAGCAACTGAGATGGCACAGTCGCAGGTGAAGGAGGTTGCAGGAAAGAGGTCAGGAGTTCAGCTTTGGATTGAGGGGTGATGTCTATTTGATACTCAGGGGAGATTCTGAGCTGAGCGGGGATGCAGGTCTCAGCTAGAAAAAGAGAGATAGGTGTCAGTGTATCTGGCATTTTGGGCCACAAGACTGGCTGAGTCCACCAAAGCTGCTGTGGAGGTCAGAGGAGGCCAAAGGTCTGGGCCTTCAAGTATTCCAACCTTAAGTCTGAAGAAAGAGAAACAGCAAAAAATCTCCAAACCTCCAAACCTGTGTGGTCAAAAGAAACCAAGAGGGTTGGGCATGCTGAAGCCAAGTGGAGACAGTGACTCAAAGAGCTGAGATTCAAGTACTGACCCTCAGCAGGCAAGGCACAGAGTACTGGTCATCTGGCCCAGGGCATTTTTTGGGGGGAGGATTCAAGTTGGTTTCAGAAAAAAGGGGAGGAGAGGAATTGCAGCCAGTCAGCATGGGAGCTCTTCCACTGGTCTGTGGCAAGAGGTGACTGAGAAATCAGGAGAGAGCTGAGTGGAGGGGGAGACAGATTAAGGTAACAACAGGGTGGTCCATGCAGAGAAGACATTCCAGCACAGAACATGCTGAGGGAGCAGAGGGAGGGATGAGCTGCTAGGGCAGGTCCTCTGAGGGGTAGATGGTGGACAAGGTCAAGTGGAAAGGCCAGCTCTGGAGAAGAGCCTGGTGAATGTTCTGGTGAGTGTGCAGTCAGAGCCCACAGTGGGAGATGCTGACAGGCAGGACGGGGTCTGCAGAAACCTCACACATTTAACTCTATGCCTTCAAAAGGCTCCTCTCTGATCCTCATTGAACAGAACTAGTTTATCTTGCAAAACTACTGAACAAGGAGGCCTCCCAGAACACCAGCACCCCTCAACTGCTGGTATTTGCATGGGAGCAGTCCTGTAGGCTCGGGGGTCTTAGGATAACTGAATTAGTTACATTCTGAATACTATTTTGGTTTTGGGTTGTTCCCATATTTTCTACTGTTATGTCAACCATGATGAATCTGGTAAGAAATTTCAAGGTTTTAAAATCTTGCACAATAGGTAAAAGCAATTTTTTAACCTATTTTATTTTTATTGACATAAAGTTCAATAGTTTTGTTAAGAGTAATGCCATTTGGGGAATATGAATAATAGTGAAGGGGAATATAAGGGAAGGGAGAAGAAATGTGTGGGAGATATCAGAAAGGGAGACAGAACATAAAGACTTCTAACTCTGGGAAATGAACTAGGGGTGGTGGAAGGGAAGGAGGGCGGGGGGTGGGGGTGAATGGGTGACGGGCACGGAGGGGGACACTTGACGGGATGAGCACTGGGTGTTATTCTGTATGTTGGTAAATTGAACACCAATAAAAATTAATTTATTTAAAAAAAAAGAGTAATGCCAGAATTAAGCACATGAAAATAATTTACGAAGTGAAGAATTATCTTTGTTAATATACTCTTTTAATAAGATCAAATGATAATTTCTTTTTTTTTAAAAGATTTTATTCATTTATTTGAGAGAAAGAGATAGCATAAGTGTGGGAAAGAGGCTGAGGGAGAAGCAGGCTCCCCAGTGAGCAGGGAACCTGACCTGGAGGTCAATCCCAGGACTCTGGGATCATGACCTGAGCTGAAGGCAGATGTTTAACCAACTGAGCCACCCAGGCTCCCCTCAAATGATAATTTCTACTAGCTCTATCAGAGGTTTAATATCCTTTTTAAAAATATATTTTGAATTTTTACACATATTATTTTGGGATTATTTTTAGCCAAAAATCGCAAAAAGGACCTGAGTTTTTGCGAAAACATAATGATGTAATTTTAAAGATGAATTAGGAACTTAAGTGAGAATTAATTTGTAGCTGCAAAATTATTTCACTTATCTTAAAATTTTCCATTTTTGAATATATATTTCAGTGTAATTTGATAGTATGGTTTCCAGAGTTGTCAAACTCACAGGTTAACCTATAGCAAATAAGAAAACGAAACTGCTTTCTTAAAAGGAACTCAGTGGAAAAAATGCTGAATGTCTCAAAATATGGAATTCAATGCAGTAGAAAAATCAGAATAATTTACATGAAAAAAGAACAAATTTCATTTTTTTTTTTCGGTAACAAATTTTATTAGGCTAATTAAGCCCTACCAAAAGATTATTAATAAAAGAAGGAAAAATCGACTCTTTCTTTAAAATAGCACCTTTTTCCCCTAAAATATACTTCTGAATTTCCTGGCCAGATTGTAAACGTGGTCTGATAGGATGGAAGAGGCACAGGACCGGCCTCAGGAGTGCTGGATTCTAGTGGATGTACCCTTGAGGAAAGCACAACATCCTCATGACCGAGATGACACAGTCCGTGTGGCCTCTGAAGCAGGAGATCAGTTTTGTGGAGGAGCAGAGAGGGGATTCAAGTTGGGCTTTTTGGGAGGCATTGCTAGGACCGTGTGGGGAGAGGACACGCTGGTGGTCAGCATCACTGAGCGCTGGGCTGGGGCTAGAAGAATGGGCTGGACAGTGGTACTCGAGTGGACTCGGCAGCCCCAAATCTCTGAGTGTGTTACCAGCTTGGGGTATGGAAAGTCAGGAAGTCAGTGAAGCATCACAGCGCCCACTGCCTCACCAGACAAGACATCAAATACATACTTATGCCTTAACTATAATTGATGATTTAATGCTCTGGGTTCTCAAGTCAGTAGGATATGTCTACATGACCCAGCATACGAGGGTAAGGGCAAAAATCTACTTTGTTTATGTAACAAAGACTTTCAGAAGACTTGGGCTTTCAGAGGGAATAGAAAGTAAAAAACTAGTGTTTCCTTGGGGGAATATTCTGGTGAAGTTGGAATTTCTGTATAACATTTCTTATACAGAATAATAGGACAAATACACAGGTGCAGCAACTTCAAAGTGTGCTTCTATTCAATTATTGGGGTCAACAAGTCATATATCCATATCGGGAAGGCGCTCCAGACACAGAATATTTAAATCCACTCAGGTTATTTGAAGTGGAAAGACAACAACAAAAAGTATGTGCACACCCACCTCCAAGTCAGTGAAGAGCCCGTGGTTGTTCTGGAGGATGGCATACATGCAGTGCGCTACGGTGACTGCGTGCTTCCAGTTGTGATAAGGAACCCGCCGATAGTTTTTCTTCACAGACATAATAAAACGACACAACTTTTCAAGCTCAAAGCTGTGTGGAAAAGAGAGTGTTATGACAGAAACTGGTAAAGAATCAATACGTTCTAGCTGAGACTCTGGTTTAAACCTCTTTGCGTGTACCCAAATACACTCACGACCGTGAAATCTTCCACAGTGATCGAGTCCTGGAGAGCTGGGGCCACACTCACTGCTTCCCTTCCATTCCTCTAGCCAGCTAAGAGACAAAGGCTCATGCAGAGCTTGGGATCGGACAGATTAATTGGCCTCCAGGGGGGCACACAACAGAGTCAGCATGCGGTTGCCCATCATTAACTCCATCACAGTCCTCACCTTTCAAGCATTTCCCACATCCCACTGTGCTTAACAGGCAACATTTCATCACCCCGTTTGAGGATGTTTTGAGATGTTTTCCAAAAAGCACACTGAGATTCAGGAGCTGCAAATACGTACACCACGAGAATTTCCTGGATGAGTCACTATCCTTTTAAAATGGATCTGTAGTATTATGGCACGCTCAAATTATGAAGTGGTAAGTGGCCATAACCAAAGTCCTGATACAGTACATAAAACCGTATGACACGTTTTTATTATGCAACGTTGTTATTATGTTTTATTTTTATATTATCATGTATTTCTACTTATTTAAGGTCCCAGCAACTCTTTGGGGGATCTTAAGGCTGCTTAAAACAAAAGCACGTCCATATAAAACGGGGCTCTTTGAAATACCAGAGATGGGAGTTCATAAAAGATACATAACCTATAGATATATAACCTTTATTTTCCTCCACTGAAAATTTTCAAATATCCTTGAAGTATAAGGTGTGTCATCTTAAGAGTTCCAATTGGCCAAACTCTCAACTGATATCGAGGTGGAGTTAATTAGCCTATGTATGTCCTTTCAAAAGAGCAATTTATAAAAGTCACCAAGAGAAGTAAGAGAAGACATAATTCAAAAGCACAGGAGAGACAGTTTAGTTCCAGAGAAACTAAGAGCCTTTATAAGCCACTTACTGATTAAATGAGTGAAAAAAGAGAAAAAGAAAATTATTCTTTGCATTTTCAGTATGTGTATTGAACCTGTAAAGGGTAAATGGAAAGTCCCAAGAGGCCTCTAGGGCAGGGGACAGGAGAGGGGATGGACCCGCGGGGGAAGGGAGCCACCGTGGAATCCCTAGGAAAGCGCTCGGCGCTGATCTAGGAGACCTGGTTCCTTCACACCTGTCCTAACAGATACATAATGATGGCTGAAAGCTGATGCTAAATTCAATGCACGTTTTCCAAAACACCCTTTCATACAGTACATTACGATGTGGAGCAGTAACCCTTGCCTCTTCCCATTACACAGCCTAAGGTAATTTTCACCTGTGTTTTTTTTTTTTAATTTTTATTTATTTATGATACAGAGAGAGAGAGAGAGAGAGAGAGAGAGAGGCAGAGACACAGGCAGAGGGAGAAGCAGGCTCCATGCACCGGGAGCCCGATGTGGGATTCGATCCCGGGTCTCCAGGATCGCGCCCTGGGCCAAAGGCTGGCGCCAAACCGCTGCGCCACCCAGGGATCCCTTCACCTGTGTTTTTATCATCACCTGGAAGACACATGGTTGTTCGCCAAGGGACAGCCACCCTGGCAAAGAGCTCGGCAGGCTGTAAGGGAAATCCAAGAAGGCTATAAATCTGTCCAGTAATTTCAGCCTTTTTTTATTTAAATATTTCGAAAAAAATATTTATAGATGGCATACTTTCAGATAATTATCAACCAAGAAAGTGACAAGGCATTTAGGCAGAAGGAGGAAGAGGTCAGATCACTCAAAAGCTTACAAAGGAAGTTTTTAAGGTCATTCATACCAAGACGTCCCACAGGAACGATGGACCATGTAGACAAAAATTCCAGGCCACATGTTTTCGAAAGGACCAATATCAAAGTGGAATCTGAGATGCAAAGAACACAAAATTGATTAGTATATATAATTAGGATAAACATAAAAACAAATAAAGTAATTTAACTTTTTGTCTATTAAGAAAGTAAGAAAACACTGGGAGTCCAGCCATCCCTTTACTGCCTTCTCAGTCACATCTCTGTTGTATTTAAATGTTTCCAGGAGGAAATTCCACACATTCCCTTAGAAACTCAGCCCAATATTTAAGCCATAGTTTAATTTTCAATTAAACAATCTATAAAGAAAATGATGTTGTGGCTGTTATCAGAGCAATGAAAGAGTACAAAATAATTTTATTATGAGTGCTACATGTTTTACACACTGATAAACAAGGGGAGGAAATAGAATTTTTTTTAGAGTTAAAAATTTTTCTATCTCCTATTTAAGTCCAGAGGAAACACTTCATAAATACAAACATCCAAAGTTATTACTTATTTTTTCATTTGCTAATTATGAACATTTAACCCAAATAAACACAACGGTAAAATATTAAAAGAAAACATTTTCCTCTAGTTATACTTCTGACACCAAATGTGTAACTTCTCCACACCAAGAAATTCTTTACCCTCTGCAGACAGCAACTGATACCCTATGACTCCACTTACTTCTGACACACCTGCAGCCAGTGCAGACCACACAGGTTAAGGGCTCAGTCCCCCAAGACTGCACCCCTCGACTTTAGATGCAAGTCCAGGCCACCCATGCTTCTGGTCACCGGCTATACATCAGAGGTCTCCACAAACCCCACCTTAGATTTTATAATGCACTGCGATAGCTCACAGAACTCAGGGAAACACTTTACTTACTATTATCAGTTTATTATTAGTGTTACAACTCAAGAGCCAAATGGAAGAGATGCATAGGGCAAGCCATGTGGGAAGAAGGGCTGAGGAGTTTTCATGCCTCTTAGGGGCGCTGCTTCCCAGCACTGAAGGTGCTCACCAACCTGAAAGCTCTCCAAACCCCTTGTGTAGGGCTTCTAGAGGTTCCATTGCATAGGAACATTTGATTAACTCAATCCCCAGCCCCTGTCCCTGACCAGGAAGCTGAAAATTACAACCCCAAACCATATAGTTGGTTCCTTGGGCAACCATCCCCCGTCCTCCTACAGTCCTTCAATAGCATAAACTCAAGTGTGGTTCAAAGAGGTTCATTATGAATGAGAAAAGACTCCTCTCTTGCTCCAATCACTTAGGAAATTCAAGTGTTTTTTTAGGAGCTATGAGCCAGAAACTAGCTACACAGACCAAATATACATATTTCTTATTATATCACTGTAAGTACTATATATAAACCATTAAAAGATAAACTGAGGCAGATAAAAAGTCTTATGAGTTTATTTGAGCAAAAATCTGTTCAGACAGGGCAGTGCCAAACTATGGGTGGTTAGAGGCACTCTGCTAAAGGCGTCAGAAGAGATCCTTGCACAGGGAGGATGAACGAGCAAAGGCAGGTGATTACTGATGGTAGCTTACAGCCCAGGTCGCTGTCCATACCTGGTCCCTTGGGCTTTTGATACATAACCTAGAGGCACTTCAGGCTTAGCTTTTGTTTGCTCACACAGGCTGCTCTAGCATTAGAGCCACCTTGGTCTGACCTGGCCCCCTTGTTGCATTAATACTTCCAATTATAAGGCAAAAATCAGCTCTGGGTTACTCCTGCAGATCTTTGGTATGGAGTTGAACAGTGCTGGCTTGCACTTACAATGAACATACAGATCACCAGAGGTCCTACCGCCAGGAGCTCACACCTAGGAGCACGGGATTTGAAAACAAAGTGTGAAAGCTGCACTAATTATTACTACATTCCAAAATATCAGTCTGCAAATTTAAGATTATATGGAAATAAAAGCCTTCAGATCTCAAATATTCAATGCCATCTTCAGCATGAAGTGCTATAAATGCAGTGTAAAGTGTAAAGGCAGAAGACTAACAAGGAAAGCTAACGTTTAACTCATTTCAAAATGATGCTGAGATTCTTTCCCTAGAGATAAAGAGATGTGGCCTCTGTGTCCACGACCCATCAGGAGATGTGAAATCACCTTAGACAGGACAAGGGAGACACAAGGAACCACACATGTGATACGGTACTGGCAGCTCTACTGCTGTACCCATTTCAAACTTTAGGCAAAATCAAATTAAAAATTGGTTTGTGGAGAAACAGGACAAGATGCTCACAATTCAATTTCTTTGCAGAGGCGCACAGGGAGGTTGAAGCTCATGAGGCCCTGCCACTCCTCCGCAGTACAAATGCTATGGTAGGACAGCTTCTCCATGGTCACCCGGTAAATGCACTCGGAGTGACGGATTCTGTGGTACATCTAGAAAGCAAATCCAAAAAATTAAAAAAAAAAAGGGAAATAAGTGTTTAAAGTAGTCACTAAAGTCCAAAATTCGGTATAAAAGAATCAGAACTGTAACTACTATGACTCTATATCTCCATATACGCTGAGGATACCCACACATGTGCCCTTGAAGATACAAAACACTGAAGTTATTTTTTTTTAAATTCCACCTCCATTTAAAAAGATTTGTTAACTTCTCTCCTCAGACACTGTCTCTGGATAGTGAGAGGCCTTGGTATTTGTCCACTGGCCCCTCCTTAGACTCCTAGCCTCCAGAACCATGACAAATCAGTGTCTGCTGTTTCTAGGCCATGTGGTTTGCGGCACTCTGTTCCAGCAGCTCAAACACACAGAGACAGACACCACCAAGCAGGAGGTAAGTTTTTTCTATGTCTCCTTTCAAAAATATTTATCTTAATTCTTGGTGATGTCAAAGTCCTCTAGTTCCAGAGTCTCAACAATGCTTGACCATTAAGCCCTTTATCAGTAGAAGAATTTGGGAGATGAGTGCCCAATAAATGTATACTCCTTTAGCAATTACATCCACATGCACTGTGCAAATATACTGTTTATATTAAAATAGAAAAGGATAAAAATACAAAATATATATTTTAAATATTTTATTACTGAAACGACTCTTTTTAGCCTTATTAGCCAAATTACATATTTTATAATGAAAGCACTAATTAGATATATGTTATCAACTGTCAATTTTTTCATTTACTACTTTGTGAGATGCTGATGTTAAGGTCTGGGTTCAGTTTGATTTATTTCAATACTTAGATTTTCAGTTATACTATTTGAGAAAGATATGCCAAAAAATATGTGGATCCAAATGGAATAAAGGACTGGCTGTTCTTAAATATCCCACTTACATTTTTGTTTCCAGCCACTAATATTTTTGGCTTAAATTCACATAACTTTCCATTTCCCTTGATGCCAATCAGTTAATCCTGCAAACGAATTAGCTGCATCCTTATATATTATCAGACATGTTCAAAAACAATGAAACTTAATGAAACTCTTCATGGGAAAGATTTTAGTAAGCTAAAAGCTGTTTCATAAAGTGAAGTCAAAAAAATATTCCATTTTAAAGAAAGGTAAAAGGGAATAAAGAACAGATGGAACAAACAGCAAATAATAAGATGGTAGGTTTATACTTAAACATAAAATGTGGTAGTCAAAGTATCCTGGTTAAAAGACACAGACTGTCAGAGTGAGTAAAAAGCAGCAAGACTCAGCTTATTCTGATTACAAGAATCCTACTTTAAAGACCCAAATCAGGTAAAATGGATGGAAAAGACAAAGCATTTAACATCAGTCAAAAGAAAGCTGGAGAGGCTGTATTAATATCAGATAAAGTGGATTTCAGAGAAAAGACTATTATCAGGGATGAAGAAAGATTACTTCAAATGATAAAGGGGTCCATATATCAACAAGATGTTGCCAAACATCAGTTGTTTTTCTATAGGTGTGCAGAGGCAAGGTATGGAGAAAGGACAGCAAACATACCCAACAGTGCCGGATCAACTGGACCCACGTGCAAATAAATAAATGCAAGATGACCCTTACCTTGAACCATATACAATAATTTACTAAAAATGGATCACAGATCTAAATGCAAAACCTAAACTTTTAGAAGAAAGCAGGAGAAAATCTCTGTGACCTTAGGTTAGGCAAATATGTCTTTGATACGATGGTAAGAGGATAATCAGACAAAGAAAAAAATCTAATAAATTAGACTTCTTCAAGATTAAGAACTGCTCTTAGAAAGCAAATATCAAACCAAACACTGGGAGCAAGTATTTTCAAATAATTCACGTGATAAATGACTCATATTTAGAATATACAAAGAACTATCAAAACTCAGCAAGAAAATGAGCAATTGCAAACAAAAAAAGAGCATTTTGAGAAGACACTTTATCAAAGAAGACACAGACATGGCAAATGTGGAGGAACGAGAGTACATACAGGGATGCTATGGGCCTTTACAAGGGTACAGCCACTTGGCAAACCAGTTTGGCAGTTTTCTAAACATCCCCCTATCACCTGACCCAGCTGCTCCACATCTAGGTGTTGACTTGATGGAGATGAAAACATACACCACACAAGGACTTGTGCACAGATGTTCATGCAGCTTTAGTTAAAACCAAAAATAACTCAAATGCCCATCAACAGGTGACTAGATTACAGTACATCTATTCGATGGAATATTCAGCAGTAAAAATGAATTAAACTATACATGTGATGCCATGCACAAATCTCAAAATAATTGCGCTGAAAGAAGCTGTGCAAAAGGGAATACAGATTTTATGATCCACAGAGAATGGATTCCATTCCATTTTATGATTCCATTTAAATTTCTGGAATTTACAATAATTCTAGAAAATGCAAGGTACTTTATTATGGTGACAGAAAGCAGATCAACGGCTACTTGAAATGGGGGGGGGGGACGTAAAGATGCGGAGGGTCAAGGGGCATCCAGAATCTCGTGATGAGGTGGGTGTATTCTGTCTGGATCACAGTGATGATTTCCCTGGACTGTGTGTACAAGCACTCATCAATCTGTACCTTCTACACCCACACAGTGTGCCATGTACTTATAAACCTCAGTAAAGTAACTTAACAATGTTCTGCTCCCAGTCTCTGTAAAGGTCTGTGATAGTTTTTTTTTTTATTTTTTTTTATTTTTTTTAAATTTTTATTTATTTATGATAGTCAGAGAGAAAGAAAGAGAGAGGCAGAGACACAGGCAGAGGGAGAAGCAGGCTCCATGCACTGGGAGCCCGATGTGGGATTCGGTCCCGGGTCTCCAGGATTGCGCCCTGGGCCAAAGGCAGGCGCCAAACCGCTGCGCCACCCAGGGATCCCAAGGTCTGTGATAATTTGTATACGTGGGTCACATGACCATGGAGCAGTGACAAGGAGAACATGCAGACTTGTTTTCCACATGCTTTCTTCATAGGAAGAGTTAATTTGGAAAAGCACCTGTTTTCTTATTCAGTGTGAATGTCACTTGCAATACTAAAGTCAGATTAAGTGCTGTTTATTGGAATGTATCTTCTAAATAATGAAATATTGACTATATTTTGTCATCAGAACACATTGGCACACTTGGAATATTTATCTTTTTTGTGAAAGATGAAACACGCAGTAATCTATTAATTTAACAACTGTTCCAAGTACTTTGCCACAAGCAGCAAGTGCGTGAGCAGCACAACAGAAATAGATGTACATTTCAGAACTACCTTCATAACTGAATTGTGTGGGCCAACTGGTATGTAATCCCCCTTCTAATATGGCTGAAGAAGAACCTGGATCAGGTGAAAAATGTAAAGATAGAATGACTGTTAGCTTACTAATGACTTTTCAGGATTATTATTTTTCTTATTTAAATCTGGGTTTAGTTTGGTGTAAACATTTAATCATGTTTACATCTAGGTTTTGTGATGCAACATGCAGGGGATTAGAAGAGTTTCAACCTGCTGGGCCAGGCTCCTCTAACGACACGACTGAGTTAACTCAAGAGTGTCTACACTGACTGTGATGCATTCTTCCAGGGACACATGGAATCCTAGACAGATTTTAAGAGGACTGATTTCTACCTCCTTAACTTCTTCCACACATTCTCTAACTTAAAAAAAAAAGGCTTTTTCCCTACCTCCCATTTCAAAATAACCCCTTCCTCAAATTGCTCTAATACAAAAGCCTCTTAAAACAAAGGGAAATATAAATTATGGTATTAATGAGGTCTAATAGTGGTTTCTAAAGTTTTCATAAAATACTGAAGGTGGTGAATCTAAATAAATTTTTAGCTGACAGATCATTTAAAATAACTGATAGAGTTATCAGTACTTTTTGGCATCTTAGCTCAGGTGGAGTTTGAATTAAGAGAATTGCCATAATAAAATTCTATGTACTCATTAATGAAAGCAATTCTTGGGGCTTCCTCAAAAATTTCTCAATTAATAGGAATAACATTGTTGAAGACTGGGAATCCAATTCCTCAATGTCAAAGAACAAAATTCAAAGATGGAAAGGACATGGCCAGGAGGAGTTCCTGTGGTACGAGACAGGGGTATCAGTAGAGCTCTCTGGGAGACAAAGAAAGAGGAGGATGGCAGAGGCTTACATACAAACTCTCTTCCAGAATAATGAGAAGAGGGAATGTGTTTCAGAGGAGAAACCTGGCGTACACAACCTCAACCAAGTGATGAAGCTAGCATTGCCAGTGAAAGGATGTGTGCCTGCTAAGGGGATGTGATGGGAATACATCATTCCGCCACATTCTTGTCAAAATTATGACCTCAATATAATCATGTGGAAATACCAGACAAGTCCAAAGTAAGAGGCATTCTATAAAATAACTGGTCTATACACTTCAAAAATACTCAGGCCATGCAAGGCAAAGAGTAAGGAATGGTTTTAGGTTAAAGGACAGTAAAGAAGAGTTTAGCCAACGGCAGCTGGTACCTGTTTAGGGCTGAATTGTGTTCCCCAAAACTCAGGTTGAAATCTTAAAGTCCTAGTACCTCTGAATGTGATGTATTTAGATAAAGGGCCTTTAAGGAAGTAATTAAAATGAGGTCAACAGAGTGAGCCCGCAATCGATGTGATGAGTGTCCTTAGAAGAAAAGAGATTAGGACACAGACAAACACAGAGGGAAGACCATGCAAAGACACAGGGAGAAGAAGGCCACCTCCAGACCAAGGAGAGAGGTCTCAGAAGAAACCACACCTACTGACATGTCCATCTTGGACTCTAGTTGCCAAAACTTCCTGCTGTTTAAGCCACTCAGTCTGTAGCGTTGCTCATGGCAGACCCCACACACACTGATACAGCACCAGTGTGAACTTCTGGACTTTAAATTATGCAGTAATGATTACTTTAGCTTGTATTTTCTAAAGACAGGCAATAATTTATATTTTTGATAACTATTTATCAAAATTTCCTAACATGGTTGCTGTGACCACATGTATACTAATAATGACATATACTACCACAAGCCAAAATTAATTTTTAGCATCTATTATACATGTTTTAGATTATTTTAATTAACAAAACACTCCTAAAGTACATTACACTGGGTCAAACTTTTGTGGGGTAACAGAAATATATACATTCAGAGAGAGAAAAGAAGGATGCGGTAGTTTCCAATCATCAGAGCCTGCTGTATTCTTAAATGGTCTATAATGGCTCTCAAGTACCTATAGTAGTTAGATTCCACTGGATGCACTTAAAAATAGATGAAAGTCAATATTCAGGATATACAAGAAATTACATTCTCTGCAACTTTTCTTTTTACAGACTTGATTTATTTATTCATGAGAGACAGAGAGAATGAGAGAGGCAGAGACATAGGCAGAGGGAGAAGAGAAGCAGGCTCCGTGCAGGGAGCCCGATGCGGGACTCGATCCCAGGACTCCAGGATCACGCCCTGGGCTGAAGGCAGGTGCTAAACTGCTGAGCCACCCAGGTGTCCCCCAATCTTTGCAACTTTTAAACTAAACAAATGTAAACTGTTAATATTTTTATATAAATAAAATATATATCTATATATATAAATATATAAATAAAATATATCTCTTATAAAAGAGAGAAACATAGGTGTAGAAAATGTTTAAAGCATAAAGTATCATGTATTTCTGATGAACTAGGTAACAAGAAAGGTCCCCATGAGAGGTGTGCGGTGACAAAGAGGGAGAAGGAGTTTCTTATGGAATAGCACTGACCCAATAGCAAATGGTCATCCCTAGTCATCACCGCATTACTTTTTGACATTTTTGTTCCTAGTCATCTTTCAGCTGTTTCCATTAGCTCTGTGGTTGCCCCTAAGGAACTCGAGGTTCTATTTCCAAAAAGGCCTATATTAGTAAGGTGTTAACTTCCATTTGTGTTGGTTTAGCTTTTTTTAAAAAAAGGTTAATAAAATTTCCCCTGACTTCCAAATGCCAATAATATCACTAAAAGATGACTCGAGTTTACAGAATACTAAATTATTTAATGTGAGACTTCATACAACAAACGTGCGCAGTGAGCAGGGCAGACGAGCTGTGAGGGTCAAGGGAGTAGACATCTGGAATGCACCTGATCAACCCGCTGAGCAGCTGCCGTGCTTGTGAGGCTACCTTAGGTGCTGTTAACACTGCTCTCTTTTGTACAAGACTCTCAAGTGCACTACATATGATGAACAATAAGGATTTAGGTCACATTTTCCTTACCCATTTCAGTAGATACCAGGAGACATAAACCTTCTGTTTAAACATTTTAGATACCAGGAGACATAAACCTTCTGTTTAAACATTTTACTTTTATAGTAACGTCACTTTTCTTTTTAACAAATTCACACCTTGAAACAAATGCTAAAATATTGAAAGATTTTAAAGACATTTCCTAAAATACGTATAACCAGGAATCACTGATTCTGGTTTATAAAGGAAACACTGGAGAAAAAAACCCACCCTTTCAACTACTTTCTTTAAAAAATTTTAAAGCTGATATTGAGTATTTTAAAAGATATTTAGAAAAGTGTTACTTACATTGGCACAGTGTAAGGCTAACGCACAAAAGACGGCAAACATCTTGAAGTTGTTTTCATCCGTTTTAGAGAAGGCACTGCCGCTTATTTTGTTCACCATCTGTACCACGCCGATCACACTTCCTCGACTCACGATGGGCATGCACAGAATATTCCGTGTGGTGTACCCTGTATACAAGTCTACTTCTCTGTGGTAAGGTTCAAGAACAAAATAGACACACACACACACACACACACACACACACAGACAAGAAAGTAAAGTGTACATTCTATCATAAATCTCAGTTTAGTTTTGCAATTTATATGTTTCTATTGCAAATAATTGTAATGCAACTGCTGAGCTTCTAAATTCAAGGACAATGTGACATTTGAAAGTGTTTCGTTAAAATCTCTTCAAAAATATTCTGATCACTTTGTTCTCTTATTTTAAAAAAATATTTAATTTATTTATTCATGAGAGACACACACAGAGAGAGGCAGAGACATTGGCAGAGAGAGAAGCAGGTTCCATGCAGGGAGCCCGACGTGGGACTTGATCCCGGGACCCCAGGATCACGCCCTGGGCCCAAGGCAGTTGCTCAACCACTGAGCCACCCAGGCGTCCCTGGTTCTCTTATTTTTTGAAGAGTTTTTCAGAATAGTCTCCAGGAGGCTTTCAGCTTATCATTCAGTTTTATGTATCCCCAGCATTATTAAGTAAATGCAGACTAACTGGGTACAGAGGAAAAATATAATAAATTTGGTAAAGTAACATGTTCCTTTAAACTTGGTCCTATGTTAGGAGAGATGTAACTTGCTAACAAACAAATATAAATGGAAGTGATCATCTTACCAATTGAGAGCCAGCCAAACCAGCCTTCTCCTGTTCTATAAACAGTTTTAATGTGATAGAGGGCACCATTCTTGAATGGTTTGTCACCACCCTACCACACAGCCGAGAACTTGTGACAGAGATGTCATGACTTCAAGAACTTGCTATCTGATCCTCAATAGAAAATGTTTGCTGACTCCTGAATTAGAGAAAATATATTTTTGCCAACAAGACTCAGTTCTATCGACAGAACCATGCACCTAGAGGCAGCTGGCGGGTGGTGGTCACTTATGCCTGGCTCCTGGCAGAGTCCTGTGTGGAGACTCCTCCACCCTGCAGCAGCTATCAATGGTTCAGCCCTTCTCACTGCAGAGTTAGTATTCTGAGGTATGCATGAACCACATTTCATTTATCCGCTCACCAGTTGATGGATATTATTGTTCGTTAACAACCAGTTTTCTGGCAATTGTGAATAATGCTGTTTTGAAGATCCACGTACAAATTTTTGTGTGGACATGTTCTCTTCCTTGATAGCCAGGAGTGGGGCTGACTGAGTACAGTAAATGTATGCTTAACTTTACAAGAAACTGTGCAAGGTTTTCCAGAGTGGCTGTACATTACACACTCCCATCAGCAATGTGTGTTGAGTCTAAGTTCCCCCATATCCTTGCCAACACTTGCTAACACCTCCTTTTTAAAAAAGAAAAGAAAAAAAAAAAGATTTATCTATTTGAGAAAGAGGGGCAGGGAGTGGAGAGGGAGAATTACAAGCAGACTCCACACTCAGTGTGGAGCCCAACATGGGCTTGACCTAGGCACCCTGCTAATGCCATGTTTTAAAAACTATATCCCTTCAAATTATTGTGTATTGAGATTTCATTGTCAAATTCCTATACAAATATCTGTTCTTGTGTTTAACGGCCATTCATGTATCTTCCTCTGTGAAATGTCTTAAAATGTTGGGTCCTATTTACTAAATTAGGTTATTTTATTAATGTTGGGACAGTTGTTTACATACTCTGGAAGCAAGTATTTTGTCAGATACACATTTTGCAAATATTTTCTCACAATCTGTTGCTTGCCTTTTCATGTTCTTAAAAGTTGACCCATAAAATTTTTATATAACAGTTTTAAATAAGGATATGCAAATATTTTCAATACTTAAACACTAAAATAACAAGTATGGGTTTTTTTGAAAAAAAAAAAAAAAAAACCTGAGATTTTCTGCATACCCTTAATTTACTGATAAAATGTACCCCTGGGATATAACTGTGCACATATTGGACACTAATCAAATTTCCAAAAAAACTTGTTTATGCGATTTAATTGTCTCTTAAGGTGAACCAAATGCTTGAATTAAGGGAACACTACTGCCAAAATACCTGAACCATGACTCCCTACCAGTCACAACATCAATCTTGAGACTTTCAATTTCTAGAGATTTATTAAAATCAGATTATATAATTTGGTTCCTAGTTCTCCAAAGAACTCAAAACAAAACAAAAAATCTTTATAAGCCATCTAATATCCCAACTTCTAATAATCTCTAATAAAAGCGGCAACTTATGGAGTTCCCATTTTGTGTCAGGTGAAGTTGCCAGAGCTCTTATGAATATTTTCTCTAATCTTACCAAACAAAAACCACCCTATAGAATAGGCATTATTGTACCATTTTAAAGATGAGGAGACGGAGGCTCAGCAAAACCAACTCACTCCAGGTCCCTCTAGAGCTGATACATGACAGAATTGAATCACAAGTAGGTACTTTCATCAGTAGGTGTTACTGCCTGTAGGGCATGGTCACGTGGAGCAAATGCCCAGGACAGAATGATTAACACTATAATGAAAACAAAGGCGCTAACTGAGCAGGCATGTGGGGATCTGGGGGCTCCAGCGCAGAGGCTGCAGCCACATGGGACACGAAGGAGAGATTGCTGAGGACACAAACTTCTTCTCACCTGTTAAAGCGTGGGTCTGCATAGGCATCTGGAATGTTCAGGACTTCCCCTGTTCTTGCTACCTGACCAGCAATTCCTTTCTCAATTGAAAATCTGCAGATATAAAAGAGAGGGACATGCTACTTAAGACAGTGATGTAAAATAATTTGAAACATTTCACTACCACTAAATATTAAAAAGCATTGTTTTATTTTAAATACTTGCATTAAGTTTACATTTACATATTCAAAAATCCTCTTATTATATAACATGTAAAGGTAAAGCTTGAGAATCATTTGAGAAGCTTGTTTTAAGATAGAACCCACAATATATTTAATTATACTGGATCACAAATTGAAACTGAGAGATTAACTAGCACTCTCCTCTACTGACCGATAATAATTCTTTATATTTGCAAAGTACCTTATAATTTACAAGATGCTTCAACATAAATTTTCTTTAATTATTTTTTTCTTTATTTACTTTTTATTCCATGCTCAATGTGAGTTTTGAACTCATGACCCCGAGATTAAGAGTCCCACGCTCTACTGACTAAACCAGACAAGTGCCTCTCAACATAAATTTTCTTAATTCTCACGGTAGTGTGAATGGAAGCCCATTGGGTTCATTAACTTGCCAACATTCCTAAAAAGTTAGTGGCACAATAAAAACAAGAATGCAGGTCTACACCAGTGTATTTTCCACCACAATATAACCAAACTTCTAGGTTATATCTGATGTTGAGATACTATTGCAGGACTGGGACTCAAAGGTTTTTGCAACACAAGCATTATATAAAAATAACACAATTTATAACTTCTAGTATTTTTACTTCTCTAATTTGTTAAATTTAAAAGCAGTCAAAAATATAAACATCTGATTACAATTAATTATGTTTCGGTATCTAATATCAGCTCTTTGTTTTATAAATATATTCTCATTTTATAAATAGTTTTCTTATTATAATATCACATAATACATGCATTCATTTCAAAAGTAGTTAAGAAAGAGGTCTATAGTCCATAATATCTAGATTTCAATAGCTTGAAAATAATTCCCGTAATATTACATTTTCAACATTTTAGGCAATAATTAATAACAGGCACTATTCAACATTATTGAAATAAAGCTCAACCTTAAGGGAAAAAAACAGAAGATAATTGACACAAGAGAATTAACTTTCTTAAAACACCAAAAAGTGAACTCAGCATTGCTGAAGCAAGCTTGTTTCATCCTGGTTTTCTGTGCTTTGACCAATGTCAAAGAACAAATTGATGTTTGACAGAACAAATTCAACCGCTGCAAGCAAAGAATATCAGAATCCACATCATGATTTATGCCTGATTTTCTTGGTTTGCTGTGTCCAGCAGGAGATAATTAAGAGGCAGCCCCGTGCATAAATGGCTGGCATCAACTGGTCCATTGACAGAGCTGGAGCCAGCCGCATTCCCTCACTGTTCCTCCCCTGCCTGCCAACACGAACTTCAAGTTATTGTGAAATGAGATCAATACCAGCACTGCAAAGAACACTTGATCCCTCAGCATGAGAAATTACTTTACCTAATGAAAAATTACTTTACCTATCCAAACTGATTTACTCAGGTCTAAAAGACAAATAAACCAAAAATAAAACAGGTAAAAATAAAAACTCAACAGTGCCTCTAATTCAGAGTTCTTTGAGTGTGGAATATAGGATCTGTCACCCTAGGGCTACAGAATGGGAAGTGCTGTGTGACAGGCAGTGGGGAGGCCTGGCTCAGGGCCACACTCCTGTTTCTTTCACATCTGCTTAGCTCTCTTAAGTGACAGGACACGTGGAAAGCAACTCGTAATTAATAAGGAATAGTGTGTTACTACAATGTTGTAACTACCCAAGTTCTTTACATTATTACGTAACAAGATACATAAGCAAAAGGGATGCAAATGTCTTAAAAAAAGGTCAATTTTTAAACGTTAAGCTTGATTCTTAAAAGTTTGGGGACAGTGCTCCTTGTAGATGCTAAGATTGTGATATGATGGAAAAAGCTTGCCTCCTCCACTCAAACTCCACTCTGTTCATCTAAGTGACAGTAGCTACTGCCATTTAAAGGTCAAAGAAGGCTTTAGTTTTCAGATGCTACAAAACTGCGCTATATGATGGATTAAATGAACTGATCAGTTACAGAACAGTGTGTTTAAGTCATTAAATATACCAGGTCAATTTCCATTATAGTCTGGACTTGGAGACAGCCCTGCAGTCCAGGACAGGTTAAGGGCAGTATTTTCTAAGTACACCCTGTTCCTAGACATAGGGAAACCTGCAGACTCCAGGTGGGATGTACCTTTACCTACCTGGGAGCACTAGTAAGTTTTTCCAACATGATTTCCAAAAGGACCGCCTCCGGAAGACGGCATTTCCAGGAGTGACGCTAAAGCTTCCTAGGCGCGGTTTCGCTGGCACTGCAATGTCATTCCCAGAAGTACTACCTTCAGGAGGCGGGTCCTGGTGGGAATGATATCACAGCATGACAAGTACTGTCAGCACACCTGTGAATAGGCACAGAAACGTGGGTAACAGGACACCCGCACAGCTGCAGTCACAGCATATGGACATTCTACTTCCAGCTGTACCTTATTTCTTTGGTCTTCTTGAAGATAGGTTTGCCTTCCTTTTCCTCTCCAATATCAAAAAGGTCTGAATATAACTCCTTGTTCTTATGGTCCACCTGGAAAAGTGCACAACGATCGGCATTCACCAGATTTTTTGCATATATCTAAAGACAAACAATAAAACAAGAGTAAGCCAATGAGAAATTCAGAGTTTAAAGGAAAACTTTATCAGAAATAAATATAAATTCCAGCTGATCCATACTCTAACTGGGTGGAAAATTAGCACAACCAAATAATTATAGGTATACAAGTACAAAAAAAATCTATGTCACTGGTAATGTGCTGACACTAGCAAGTACCAACATGAACGAGTAACAGCTGCTATACATGCACACCAAGGTGCTGATGTTGAAATACTACTAAACTTTTGTGTGGATTGGAAAGCAGCTGCTAGCCCCACTCCCTCTAAGCCCTGCTGCCACCCTGGCCCCCCTTCCAGGACGTCTAGGGCTTAGCCTCATGTCTGGTGTGAGCCTCTGCAAACTCTAAGGCCAGAATCCATTTTGAATGGTTGGCATTCGTGACATAGCAGTTGTAAAAAAATATGAAATGTAACTTCTAATGAGGTTCATATTCACATTTGTTGCATTTTACTTGTTCCACTAAATAGCGTGTAAGAATTATTAAGTGTCTACTCTGGGCCGACACTTTCACACACACATTAGGTGCCTTCCCTCACTTAATCCCCACAGTCACAATATTAAGTCAGGGAATATTTTTATCTCCACTTCATGGGTTAGGATAATTGAGGCAGGGAGGTAACTAAACTTGTCCACTACATGGCTAGTAAATGGCAGATTGGGTATTTGAACTCATACTAACTGTTTTCATGGCCTATATTCTTACAACAAATATGCTCTTTCATTTCTAACTGGAAAACTGTGTATTCATATTGTCATTCACTCGTTCATCAATTTCCCTCCACAATTATTTCTTTAATGCTTGAAGTATCCCACTGTCCTTCATGAGTTGGGACTACAGTTACGATGCAATTAGCATATTCACCTCAATTGAGAACTCTGGCAAGCTTAACCCTCTTCCAGATTTTAGTTGTAAAATTACCGCCCAGAGAAAATGTGTTGATTCTCAGAGAAAAACAGTCATCAAAGTCTATGCAAGAGGGACATGGGCCACCTTGTGGCCAGAGGAAAACATAAAATCTCATGTAAAACTACTTGTCTTTATAAACTATATTCACTCACTGAACAAACATTGGCCATGCCAGGGAGTGAGTATACTGGGTATTATTGGTATGAGAACTTAGTCTGTCTCTTTCCATTAGACTGTGAGTTCTGTGACAGCAGAAACTGCTTCTTTCCCCCCACAGTATTCCAAAAGCCCAGCACAATGTCTAGAGTAGAGGTCAGCTAACTAAAGTCCATCTGCCAAATCTAGTCCATTGCTTGTTTTTATAAATACAGTTCTATTGGGAAAGAATTATGTTCATTCCTTTACGAATCTGCTACAATGCCAGAGCTGAGTGAATGCAATAGAGTACAGCCCACGAAGCATAAAACTTTCCTATTTGACATTTAACAAAAAAAAGTTTGCCAACCTGTAGGTTAGAACATATACGATCTCCATAGCCTAAGCACACTCAATAAATATTTGAGGAAGGATGAATGACATAAAGTTAGGGAGTTAGTATTGCTGGCAAACAGAAGAATCACCCATTTATCCTGCAAACTCATGGGATCTTGAATTATCAAATAATAATCATGATTCTATACTATTAGAGATTACATTATGAAAAGTGAAATTTGTGTCCCTAATGCCTAGGTCATGTTAATTGTTTCATACTCTGGCACCTGTTTATGTTAATATTTATAAAGGTCTGAATGGAATAGATAATTTTGTAGAAAAAGGAAATTTTCTAGAAAAAGAAGCTGAAAAATCTGAATAGAAATTAATCAAAAAGAGAACTGTAAAATTGTCAAAGAATTATCCCCATAAGTGGCCTCAGCCAAAATGATTTCAAAAAAGAATTACTTAAGAATCTTCAACAAATAAATTCACATCTGATTTACAGTGTTCTATGTTCAGAAAGAACAAAACCTTTTCAGTTATTTTTAGAACCCCTGCTACACCACTGATACTGAAAATTGACAGAGATACTATAAAAAAGAAAATCACAGACCAACTTGACCTTGGAAACAGAAAAGAACTCAAATAAAGATTTTAGCAAATCAAACTCAGGGATAAATTAAGATTATGGTATTTAAAAATTAGACTTTAATCAGAACTGTTTAGTATCATAAACTCTACTATTTCATAATTGCAATAAAACAAGGGAAAAAAATCACACAATTACCTTCATGGTTGTCAAAGTGCATGTGATGCAATTCAGCAATCACTCACAATAAAAACGATAAAAATGAAAGACCATGGAGGACTCATCAGGGAAAGCAGGGACACCATCTCCATGCTCTCCCCTGGCCTTGTGACAACTTGCTGCTACCTCTCAGGAAGGAGTTCATACACTTATCTGGAGCCCCAATTTTTACAGCTGTCACCCTGCAGACCTCTCCAGATCACATGGTCTGGAGGCCAGCAGGGCTCACACTGTGGTCCCATGGGATTGTCTACATCACATACTTCCAGAGTTGCTGCCTGATGCTCTTGGTTCCAATCAGCCAGATACCCAGTGCTGACCAAAACCTTCCCCTGTGCAACACTGCTACCTCTTGACATGCCCACAGCAATGGGGACCCATCAAGGATAAATCAGGCCACTTCGATAACCACAAGGCTGGAAGACAACAAGCACTAGGGTGAGTGGGATGATAAGGTTCACTACCTATACAAGGTCCCTCCTTCAGCACCAGGACAAGGCAGTTGTGTCATGTACTACATAGAAACAAGCACAGAGAGTCAAGCAAGATGAAGAAAACAGAGGACATGTTCCAAACAAAGGAGTAAGATAAAACCTCAGGAAAAACAACTAATGAAATGGACATAAGAGGCTTACTGATAGAATTCAAAGTCACAGCCCTGAAGATGCTCACCAAACATGGGAGAACTGACATCATACTCAATGATAAAAAGCTGAAGGCATTTCCTTTAGGATTAGGAATAAGACAAGAATACTCACTCTCACCACTGTTGTTCAACATAGTATTAAAAGTTCTAGCCAGAGCAACAATGCAAGAAAAGGAAATAAAATGCAACCAAATTTGATAAAAAGAAGTAAAACTGACCTGATTTGATATATAGAAGACCCTAAAAACTCCACCAAAAAGAATTATGTTAGAACTAATGAACAAATTCAGTAAAGTTGGAGGGTACAAAAACATAACAAAAATGTACTGAATTCCTTCCTTAAAAAAAAAAGATTTTATTTATTTATTTGGGGTGGGGGGAGGGGCAAAGGGAGAGAATCTTTAAGCAGACTCCCTGTTGAGTGTGAACCCAATGCTCAACCCATGAGATCACAATCTGAGTCAAAACCAAGTCAGATGCTCAACCACCTGAGCCACCTAGGCACTCCCTGTTGCATTCTTATACACCAACAATGAACTATCTGAAAGAGAAACTAAGCAAACAATCCCATTTATGTTTGCATCCAAAGAATAAAATACCTAGGAATACATTTAATCAAGGAAGTGAAAGACCTATACACTGGAAATTTTAAGACATTGATGAAAAAAACTAAAGACACTGAACGGAAAGATACTCCACACTCATGGATTGGAAGAACTAATATTGTTAAATATCCAGATTACCCAAAGCAATCTACAGATTTGATGCAATCTCTATCAAAATCCCAATGGAATATTTCATAGACCTAGAACAAAAAAAATGAGTATGTAACCACAAAATACCTCAAATAGGCAAAGCAATCTTGAGAAAGAACCAAAGCTGGAAGTATCATGTTCCCTGATTTCAAACTATATTACAAAGCTATAGGAATCAAAACAGAATGGTAGAAACGTAGATCGAATGAACAGAATAGAGGATCCACACATAAACGGTTGATTAATTTACAACAAAGAAGGCAAGAATATAAATAGAGAAAGGACAGTCTCTTCAATAAATGGTGCCAGGAGAACTAGACAGCCACAATGGAAAAGAATGAAATTGGACTAGTATTTTATAACATATAAAAAATTAACTCAAAATGGATCGAAGACTTGAATGGAAGACCTGAAACCAGAAAACTCCAAGAACAAAACACCGACAGCAAGTTCTTTGACACTGGTCTTGGCAATGTTTTCATTTGATTGTTTTTGTTTTTGGATCTGATTCCAAAAGCAAAGGCAACAAAAGCAAAAATAAGTGGGACTACTCAAACTAGAAAGCTTCTACACAGCAAAGGAGACCATCAACAAAATGAAGAGGGAACCCACTGAATGGAAGAAAATTTTTACAAATTATGTATCTGTAAATACAAATATCCAAAATATATCTTAAAAATTCATATGACTCAATAGCAAAAAACAATCCAACTAATAAATGGGCAGAGGATCTGAGCAGACATTTTTCCTAAGAAGACTTGCAGTTGGCTGACTGGCACATGAAAAGATGCTCAGCATTATTAATCACCAGGGAAATGCAAACCAAAACCACAATGAGGTATCAACCAAAACCTGTTAGAAGGACCAGTGTAAAAAAGATAAGAAATACCAAATGCTGGAAAGGATGTGGAAAAATGAGAATTCTTGTGCACTGTTGGTGGGAATGTAAATTAGTGTAGCTACTATGGAAAGTTCTTAAAAACATTAAAAACAGACCTACCATATGACCCAAGAATTCCACGTTCGAGTACTTACTCTAAGAAAACAAGACCACTAATATATCTATACCATCGCATTCTTTGCAGCATTATTTACAATAGTCGAGATACAGAAACAACCAATCCACCAATGGATAAGTGGATAATCTGCAGTATATGTACATATAATAGAATACTATTCAGTCATAAAAAAGAATGAAATCTTGCCTTTTGTGACAAGACAAATGGATCTGAAGGCTATTATGCTAAGTAAAATAAGTCAGACAGGGTAAGTCAAGTACTATCTGGTACCTAAGAGACAAAACAAACAAAACAAAACAAAATCCATGGATAGAGAGAACAGGGTGGCAGTTGCCAGTTGGGAGGGGAGTGTGGGTGGAGGAAGGTGGGAGGTACAGACTTCGAATTGTGAAATGAAGAGGTCACGGGGATGTGGTGTGCAGCATGGTGACTATATTCAATGGTATTACAGCACATATTTGAAGGTTGCTGGGAGGGTGGATTTTGAAAGTTCTCATCATAAAAAAAAATTGGGGGGGTAACCTTTTTTTTAAGATTGATTGATTGATTGATTGATTTATGATAGACATAGAGAGAGAGAGAGAGGCAGAGACACAGGAGGAGAGAGAAGCAGGCTCCATGCTGGGAGTCTGACATGGGACTTGATCCTGGGACTCCAGGATCGTGCCCTGGGCCAAAGACAGGCACTAAACTGCTGAGCCACCCAGGGATCCCCAGGGTGGGTAACCTTTTATGGTGACTTTTGATAACTAGACTTATTAGGGTGATCGCTTTGCCATGTACGCAGGCGACGAATCATTACATTGTACACCTGAAACTAATACAATGTTGTTTGTCAGTTACACTTCAATTAAAAAAAACACACACACTTAGGTAAGAAAAAGATAAGACTACACATATTTGATAAGACAAAGTTTTACTGTTCAGTGATAATGTTATTATGTTGAAAATCAAGAAAATCAACTTAAGAACAATTGTAGGCAGTGAGCAAGTCTTCTGTTTTAAGATTAGTGATTTTGAACATGTTTACATTTTTCATTCTCCCCAAATATTAGGCTTTCAGTTTGAAATGGTGCTCTCACACTGAAAAGAAATTGGGAAATCCTAGATATATTTTGAGAATATTTATGAACTCCAAGCATTAGAAGGTCATTCTAAAAGCCATCCGCCTCTCCTATACATGCACATGCATGAGTGTGCACACATGTGCACCCACACACGGAGGTTTACTTGTAAGTGGAAACGGTTTCTGATAACAAGAGTGGATTTAGAATTCAGTGAAAACAAGAACAGTGCTGGAGGCAAGCAGTGAGCTTAACAGATTCTCCTCAATGTATATAGTTCTCCTCCTACACTGTCAAGAGTGTCTGTTGTCCCCACCAGATACTATTTAACAACTTAACGAGTTTTCCTTCTATTCCTAATTTGCTGAGTTTGCATCTATTGGGTGTTGAGCATTACAAAATCTTTGTGTCTCATTACAGTGATGTAGTTTTTCTTCCTTTACTCAGAATTAGGAATTAAATCACTCTGTTGCTTACTGTTGAACCACTCTTGCATTCTTGGGGTGAACGCTCTTTTTTAGCTGTGATGTAATCTTTACTCCTGGATTTGTGGTTCTCATATATTTCTGACTTTTTGTATCAATCTTCTGCTCATGGGCTTTTCTTTTTTCTACCTTTGGATAATACTGGTATTAGGCTGAAAAGCTAGATGATAGCCAGCATTGGTGAGAATATGGAGAAGCTGGAACCTGTGTGCACTGCTGATGGGAATGTAAGATGATACAACTGCACAGAAGACAGTCTGGCAGTTCTTTGAAAACTTAAACACTCACTTCTCATATGAACCAGCAATTCCATTCCTAAGGATACACCCAAAATAACTGAAAACAAGTATTCAAATAAAAAAGAAATGTATAGAGATGTTCAAAGCAGCACTTTTCACATTAGCTAAAACGTGGAAACAATCCAAATATTTATTAGCCAATGAAAGGATAAAAAATGTGGTATGGATATCCATACAATGGAGTATCACTTAGCCATAAAAAGGAATGAAGTTCTGGAACTTGCTACAGCATGGGTGGACTTTGAAAACAGTGTGCTAAGTGAAAAAAGCCAGGCATAAAAGGCCACACATTACTGATCTCTTTTATGTGAGATGCCCAGAATAGGTAAATACATAAAAAAAAGTAGATTAGTGGTTGCTTAGGATTGGGGGAGGGAGTGGTGGGAGGCAGTAGGATGATGGCATAAGTAGGTGATGGCTAAAAGGATACGGAGTGTCTTTTGGAGGTAATGAAAATGTTCTAAATTGACTGGTGATGGTTGCACATATCTTTGAGTATTCTAAAAACTACTGAATTGAACACTTTAAATGGATGAATACTGTGATATGTGAATTATATCTCAATAAATTGTTTTTAAAAGGATAACATTACGGGGATGCCTGGGTAGCTCAGTGGGTTAAGCGTCTGCCTTCGGCTCAGGGCATGATCCTGAGGTCCCAGGATCGAGTCCCACATCAGGCTCCCTGAATGGAGCTTGCTTCTCGCTTTGCCTGTGTCTCTGACTCTTTCTCTGTGTCTCTCATAAATAAATAAATTAAATTAAAAAATAAAAAGATAACAATAATATCAGTCAACGAGTGTTTCTTACACCCCTAGTCAAGCTGTGTCAATTCGTATATTTATATTTTTAGTTTTCTTAATATTTTTGACTTCTTTACAAACTCCTGAAATTTTGTTATAACCAAACAATTTTTTACAATGCAACTAAGTACTCTTTTTCATCCAAATAAAACCATCAATATAACTATGTAAGGAATGGGCTGAAAGCAATAACCCCTAATGTTACTAATTCCCTTCATAAACTTTCTGTCTACAAAACACAGAGCATATCACACTCCATACTCACCTGCCATGATATCAAAGAGAAATACATCATTGTGTATCATGAAGACTGGAGCCAAGCCTATAAGCCTATAACGTATTGTGCAGGCTTACTATCTTTTGAGAAAAGACAGGCAGGAAAATGGGATGGAGCAAAAACCCTCATCAAAATACACAACAGGGTAAGAATGGTACCAAGAAGCCTGATTATGTGTGGAGCACACATACAGGTCAATTTGGCCAGAAGCCACTTCTGTAATGGAGTCTTGCCAGAGCACTAAAGCAGCAATAAGAAAATACAGATGAAACTCAACTTCCTATGGCTTTCAGCTCCAAGCACCTGTTAGTCTTCCAGATAGAGAGGAAGACTTAAGACGAAAGTAAATAGAATCAACCTCAAGATCAAAAAGAATCAGTTGGGAATTCCTAATCTAGTTGATATGCAAAAGGTGTTTTGGAGAATATAAAAAGGAATTAAGTGTTTTCTCAAAGTATAGCTCACCACTAAATAATGAAAAACACAGATATTTTTCCAAAAGTTATTCAAACCCCTCCAAAATTAATTAAAAGTGACAAATCAGAGCAACACCTCCACCCACCAAGCACCATCTTTTCATCATATTTAAAACTATTTATATACCCAATACATGAAAATATTCCACCATGTATTAGGACATGAATCTAAGGGTTCAATACAATCATTTTCAAGATAAAAAGCAACCTACCATTATGTGTTCAAGTAGAGAGTCTATTGCAACTATGTTATCAAAATACGTCCTGAAAAAAGGAACATAAAACTGGTAATTAATCTAAATAAGAACACAGAACATATTAAACTGAATACATTTCCCAGTTTTCTCTACATTTAAGCAAAAAACATATATGTTGATTTATGTCCTTTTGTGGAAATGGACAATAATATTACTTTAGAGAGATAAATGAATGAGAGATAAATTATCATTTACTTTGGTATGAAGTCTCTAATTTCAGAGGATAAATTAAGTAATTATTTTATTGGTAAGTACCTATTTTGAGAGAAAGTTTTGTAGTATTTAACTAAAACTATGAAGGGATAAAATTGGGCTCACCAGATTTAATATTTTCATGAATATCTGAAACAAAAATATTTAAATTTGGTAAATCTCATTAATATAGTTAAAATGTTAGTTTAACTGTACTGAGAAAGCAATGTAATTCCTTTGAGAAAAATATCAGAATACAAGAAATGATAATGGCCTACCGACTTTGCACAAGTGAATTATATACTCATTATTACAAACAGCAAGTAAATCTCTTGGAGATATATGGCACCTCCATTAAAATGTCAACCTGATAAACAGATGAATTAGTAGGAATGTATTTCAGGGAATATGTTGATATAGGATCTATTGGCAAGGTACCGCTTTCACTTTAGGTTCCTGTGAATTTAGCAATGTACTCAGAATTAAGATAACTTAATAGTGATAAACAATGCCTTTTGTTGAAAAGACAAATTAGTCAGTTTGGAGCCAATAAGACTTAGCACATGCTTAATCACTGCTCTGAGGAACGCACAGCAGGAAAGATGGTAAAATCAAATGGGTTTCCCCTAGAGGAGAGATTTACAGGGATTTAACCAGACTGTGGAAGACTCTCAAGGTATTCAGATACACTAGAGTAGGGGAAGGTGCACGGCTCCCCTTTCCACGTGTTCTCAGGTAGTAACGTCATGTGTCCCAGAGACACTGATTCTGTCTCAGACATAGCTGAGCACTCTTATGTCCATGCTTCTCTAATTCCACATTTCAAGAAACCCATGTGTCACAAACAGCAACTTCAGTCTAATTAGTGATGGAGATTACAACACTTCTGGATGCCCATGTTAGTAGGTGCTGCCAGAGTGATGTAAGAGAGAGAGCACAGTCAGAGCTGCTGCTGGTGAAGAACAGGTATGTTATTCTTCTATTAACTTGCCAGAGGACATGACCCTGAAGGGACCACATCCTGGGGCATTATCTTAGATTTCAGCAGTTCAGTAGAGGGTCAGATCTATGAACAATGTTGCCTGAAGCAGGCAAAACCAATTACGAATCTCGACTGTAAGAAGTATCTGTAACTGCTTTCACTGCCAGCCCAATGAGGTTTTTCTAGGTCCAATTTCAGGAAAATGGAACATTTTCTTTAAAATGATATCTGAGCTACCAAACATGGGCAAATTAAAATAATAATACTGATAACATATTTTGCTGACATATTTATAGAAAATGCCAGAGAGGACTTTTTGGAAAATAATAAACTAGAACATTTCCTCCTCCTCTACTGCTCTGCATTCTCTCCTACAAAAATAGAAATACTTAGTGTCTTTAACACCCTCTAGTGAGGAAAAGATACACCAGACTGCAAATTAACAGGAGCACACGAACATCCGCAGTCCTTCACTCGTTAAGTGAGCATGGAGGAGAATATAATGTAATGGTCCGGAGCAAGCACCCTTCCTACAGACGGCTCATGTGGTGCCTATTCCTTGGTCTGCACTTACTCTAAAGCACCGACTGAGGAAACGGCCTGCCACCCCACAAACAAAGACTTACTTGGACACATCCAGTAGGAAGTCATTCAGCTCAGTTTGTTTCGCAAGGCCTCTGCACACCTGCCGTATAAAGTAATGGACGTGAGTCATACGAGACTTCTGCTTTTTTTAAAATAACAATTCCCGAGTACTACATACCATATTTTATTTTAAAAGACACAACACAATCACTGTTTTTAAAGTAGTAATACTATTAGTAACAAGTTATATTTATTGAATGCTTAAATGCACTGAGCTGTGTTCTATAGCTTTAGGGTTACTGTGTCATTTAATCACCACAAAACTCTACAGATTTGGGATTTACTTTTATAATTGGAGCATAAAGAAGTTTAGAACCATGCTCCTACTCTGGAGTCAGTAAGTGACGAAGCCAGCATGCAGATCAAGGCAGTCTACATCCAGAGTTGCTCTTTAAAACTACTTTACACTTTAAAAAATACAACTTGGGCACATGTCCCACTTATACTTGATACGATCAGATCTGAGAGGTCTCATACTATTATCCTATACATTTTTCTCCTCTCATCACAGAGCCTGAGTTGGCTGAAATGGATTTTTAAAAAAAGACAACAATGAAAAGTGGAAGATACAAAGCAGAATTATACCACTACTGTGTCCCTGAACTCTGAAGTCTAGTTACAAGGAACCTCGACAAGGCTTGTAATATTTTTAATTAAATCATGTTTTCTAGAGAAGCAGGTATCTTAAATGTGAGATAAAAGTTTTCGTATACTATTTGGTTTAGAGGACACTTTAATTTAGGAAATGGAGTCATAAAGATAGCAATGCTATTGCCAGTAGGAGATTGTTCCTTTCCTTGGAAAGGAAATGGAAAACAAAACAAAACAAAAACCGTAATAGAACATGTATCATTTATGGCATAAATGATTTATAATCATATATATTATAATTATATATATGCATATACACACATATATATAAATAATTGTAAGATATTTAAGGCAGGGAATAAGTAAATAAAAATGAATAGACACAAAATTTTAGAAATAACAAAATACCTAATATCCAAAATAACACATTAAGGTCACTTATTAACCCCCACCCTGTCCCCCAGTGGCTATACTTTAAACAGCTCCCCTTAGGGAGTCCCGTAAAAACACCCCAAGGCACACCTGCACCTGATGTATTGCTACTGAAGCCCAGGCAAGATTTGCTGTTGCAACCTAAAAAAAAAAGGATGAAACACCCTTTGATTAGTCATATGCGGACATCCTAACAGAGGACTCTAGCATAAATGCATATGAAGTATTTTCTGAGGCTGCTGAGTATTTGAATATTTTGCCAAATAGAGAATTAAATATGTACAGGATTTGTCTTTTACATTTCCAGCCCCTTTATAACTGAGTTTAATGTTCTCCCGCTCCCCTTAACTGTGGACAAAAAGCAAGATGAATTGCTTAAGAGAACCATCATCCAATGATTTTCACATAAAATAATTATTTTTCAGTTTATCAAAAAAACTATTAAAATGGCTTCAATGACCATTTTACAATGGTGAAATATTTCTAAAATTTTGCTGACAAGTTCTCAAATTACTAGCTATTCTACTTCTTTTATTATTCATTTACTTCCCACATATCCACTGGGTGCCTCCTCGGTAACAGGCTGGAGACACAGCACCGCCAGTACCAGCACAGTTCATAGAAGATTGTAGAAGAAAGACAAGAAAGAATAAAGAAGTACACAGGGTCTTAGCTGGTGACAAGGGGACACAGAGGACAAGAGTCACACCAGATGGAGGGGCAATGCCACAGAGGATTCCCCTGAGACTATGAGCAGTGTTCAGGGAAGGCCTCCTCTTCAGCATGGCGACATGTGAGGACGCACCTGAAGGAAGCAACTAGGGTGGGGGGCAATGGGGACACGTGCAATCTAAACAGAGGAAGAGCAGAGGCTGGGATGGCCTGCCAAGTGGATGGGGTATAGGCCACTGAGGGTCTTGCGCATTTGTAGGCTGGAAGTGACAGAGAGATCACTGTGGCATTTGGGTTAAGGATTAATGAGCCGATTCTGATCCAGGGAATAGTGCGTGGAACTCATCGTTTTCCAAATGTATTTGATGTTGGAATCTTTCTTCGGGATATCCTCTAGGAAGAGGACATTTTTAGGGAAACATAGACAACCAGAATGCAAAAACTTTCCAAAGTCATCCTGGTACTTTATTTGATGCACAATATGGCATACTTCTATTTTTTTCCAGCATACTTCTATTTTTATTGTTAGAATGGATTCTATTTAACTAAAATAAATTACTATATTCCTAATGTAATCAGTTTTCTCTCCAAGTAACTACAAAACAAAAATAAAGGTTTTTAAAAACCATCAAAACACTGTCAAGCAAGCTGTGGTTTTACTTACTTACTTATTTATTTATAAAGATTTTATTTATTCATGAGAGAGAGAGAGAGAGAGAGAGAGGCAGAGACACAGGCCGAAGGAGAAGCAGGCTCCATGCAGGGAGCCCGATGTGGGACTCGATCCTGGGTCTCCAGGATCCCACCCTGGGCTGAAGGCAGTGCTAAACCACTGAGCCACCGGGGCTGCCCAAACCGTGGTTTTAAATACTCATTCATTATCTGAACAATAATAATAAGTGTGGTCAAGGGGCTAGCCTCACCTCCTGGTGACTCATACAGAAGGCTTCTTTGCCCCAGTGCCGATAGAGCTCCAAGATACCAATCAAATCACCAATTGCAGTGACAATTGGTAAACAAAGAACAGACTGGATGCGAGTCCCGGACTCCAGACCAGTACCCCTTGGAAACCGTTCATCCTGGAAAATAAAAGAAGGAAAGATATAAATTCAGTAAAAGAAACGGGAATCATTATGTTAAGATTCTTATTTGTCAGAATTTGCACACTGTAACCGTATTTAAGAAAATGCTTATCTTTAGCAACACGACACCTATACACAGATATTGCTTTTATGTTTCTTTCTCCCTGTGATGGATTTAATCAATGAATATATATTAACTTCATGCAATAATAAAGGTAAATTTGATGGCTAATCCCTATTTAACCATCACCTTCTATGTGCTAGAACTCTTCCAAGGGCTTTGCCAGTTTATAAATACCACATGAAGGAAGTATACATAAAAATTGTGTCCGTTCTATTTTTTAAGGTTAGAATAATACAGAAGTGTATATTAATGCTAGTCATTCTGATTGAATCTCAAAGGTTCATATCAAGTATTCAAAACATCCAATAATTATCGATTACTTATGAAAAATGCAATTGGTTCTTTGACTTTAATAACTTTCTAGCTTAGCTAATCACTCAAAGGAATATAGGGAATTGAATAAATTAATACCAAAGCTACCAATTCTGTTTAATTTCTGCTGTCCGTAGGAAGCTTTTCATCAATCAAGAATAGTACAAATCTGTATTTGTAACTTACAGATCTTTTGAAAGCTTGCATATATGATAGAACATTTTCAAATGACAATTTGTATAGTATCTATCTACTTTTGAAACTTTTTAAAGTTGAAATATGCTTGACATGACATTATGTACATTTAAAGTATAAAACATGTTGATTTTGTGTTATATATTTATATATTGTACTACGATTGCCATTGTAGTGGTAGTTAGCATCTCTATCATGTCACATAATTATCTTTTTTAGAAAACATTTTATTTGAGAGAGAGAGTACACAAGTGTGGGATGGGGGGGGGGGACTCGGAGAGAGAGAATCTCAAGCAGACTCCATGCTCAGTGCAGAGCCTGATGCAGAGGTCAATCTCACCACCCTGACATCATGGCCTGAGTGGAAACCAGGAGTCAGAGGCTTAAGCGACTGAGCCACCTAGGCACCCCATAAAATGATCTTATAATGAAGATCATGTCTTTCAGCAACCTTCTTTATCTGTATCTGTATAGATAATTAGTAGCAAAACCAGAATTAAAATCCAGATTTCATGACTCCAACTTAGCACTTTCTCAAGCAATTTCATTACACCTATATAGTCATTGGCATACTTGTCAATTTTAAAGTATAAGCTCATATAGTGACATTTCATCACAGTGCGCACATATATATATATATAGTGTGGAAGACTATACTAAGGGCTCCATTTGTCACAGTCTCCATACCCATGGGCCTCCAATACTGCGTCTGGGCTTGCTTATGTGATTTCCTTTGGCTAATGCAAGGGTAGTAAATTTGATACAGACAGACGCTTGAAAACCCACTTCCATGTTTGACTTATTCTCTGGAAGCCCTGCCACCACGATGAGAGGTGGGGTGGGGAGGGAAGGGAGTGATAATCACTCCTAGGCCAGCCTGACTTAGAGGTGGGGTGGGGAGGGAGGGGAGTGATAATCACTGAGGTTCTCTGAGGCCAGGCAGCTCCTAAGTGTCAGCCAGCTGATCTCAGATGCATAAGCGAGCCAAGCTGAATACAGCCCAATGAGCAAAATGGCCCAATCCAGACTCATGAGCAGTAACAAGTGGGTATTGCAGGACATCACTAAAACTTGGGGTAGAATGGTACAGAGCAGTAGCTAACTCATTTACATACATCTTGCTAGGATATAAAACAAAGAACAGTGATCATTTAGTTTATATGAATATAAACATACATTTTATGCTTAGCTGTACAGGTACGTTTTGAAATCAGAACTATTTAAATCTAGCTCTCGGTGGGTATGTAAGACAGGATTTTCTGAGAACAAAAATTAGTTTACATACAAATCCATTTATTGATCTGTATCTTGCTCTAATGGTTTTATTAAATGGCTTGAATCATAACATTAAAATGATATGTCATCTTTATGAAATAAATACTTCAGGTTATAAATGTTACAGAGCAAAAAGCCATTTACCCCAAGGATGTCTTCCACTAGCAATGTTTTTCTGGACTTGGCCACATAGGCAGAGATGGTGGTGCCCTGGGCAATAGGCCCAGCAGGAATGAGCCGGGGCTTTCCTTCTTTGATTCCAGGTGGAGTGAACACGCACAGACTCTAGCAAGAAGAAAGAACATGTTTTATAGACCCCCCTGTGCTTTGGCACTACAAAAAGACTCCTAGATACTACTTATTGGTCATGAGGAATCTGTAAGCCAATGAAGAGACAGAAAATGAGGAAAAGTGCTTTGCAATGATCAAACTAGGGTATGTGAGGTGCAATTCTCTCCCGTATTCCCTATAGGACACAAACAGGCTAGATACAGGACTTCAATGAATGTCTAGGCACAGAAACACTCTTAAAATAGCCTCCAAAATTATTTTGATATATAGAAAACAATAAAATGGAAAAAAAAATAAGTTGTCCTTAGGGTCAAGTTTCTGTCAAGCAAGAAACAGATACACATCTGGCCCAACCTCCCCTAGAGACTGGACTTCTGGATCGGAAGACAGGATCAAAGACTATAAGTCAAACTGATTTGGTTACATTTTTCATTTTCATTAAAAATCTTTCTTCCTCAATACAGTATTACTTTTTTTAATGACTCAAATCATTCCAGTCCTTAAATTGGCCTGATTATAAAATTATAGATTTGAAATACTCTTATGCAAAATATTTTTAACAAATATGGCTGCATCGTTCCCTTTCAAATGACTAGGTGGGCAGGCAAAGTCCTGAAACCATTTTAAGAGAAGTTTTTAAAAATATCAGTTATTTTGACTAAATCCAATATTTTAAATAAATTTCTACTAGGTAAGAATTACTATTCAAAACAAATAACGTGGAGATTAGGGGCAATATTGTGACATAACTGTATTATGATTATCTACTCAATTTGAAAAATAATAAGGTTCAGATAAATTCTCCCAATACTTTACTTTTATCTTAAATTGAATTGCTGTAAGTTAAAATCTAAAGATTAGATAATCCTCTTAAGCTACACGTTCCTACTAATACTTACTAAGCAAATTCTAGTTGAAGAACTTGAGTTAGATGTAATCATACACTTATTAGATAAGTGGTTTTCAAGCTCTGTAATGTCAGAGAACTCCTTCTTCCTATAAAATCTAACTCAACTATCACGCAAGAGTAAACCCTATAAATGAGCTCCTCCAATTGAGTGGAAGTGGGAGAAGGAAAGCAGAGCATAGAGGCAACCCCAGCTGCTTTAAATAAATCATCATTACTTACAGATGAGAAGCGAAATTCAAAATATTTTATTCACAGGTAGATCTTTATCAGGACTATGCTTACAAAGCATTTGTAATTAAGTAAATCAATGCCTGTGAAAAATATTTTTAAAGGTTCTTTGTAGAGATTAAGTTAAAAATGTTTATTACAAGTTATATGCTTTAAAAAGATTTTTAAAATTTAACTACATATAAGATAGTAAATGAAAATTCCACCTTATTCACTTTTAAAGAGGCTAGAATTCAGCATCATGGGTTTTAAAGTTACCATAGTTCTATTATGCACCAATATGCCTACAGTGTAGATGAAGTAAGATTTTTATTAGATTTAATGTCTATCATTGCCGTGGTACAAATCGGTGTGCCACCTTCTCTTAAGATTGAGAAAAGAGTAGAAAAACTATTTAAGAACAGGAAGAAGGGATGATTGCAAGGAAAAAATGTAAAGGATGTGGTATATTCAGCCTGAAGAAAAATCAGAATTGATAATGATTTTCTCCAACTATGAGAAAGTTAATCATAAGAAGAATGCCGATCAATGTTCTTTTCTTTACCAAAGACGAAGGCAGGAAATGAATGGGAACAGAACTGAGGGGTTTGCCTAGCTCCTATAGAACTTCCAGGATGGTGACAAAAAGTACTCTGGAGCAAGCTCCCAGCGGTAGCTTTGGCTTTGTTGTTTGAAGATCTACAACAAGATATCTTTTTGGATGACTTTGCTACATGCCTTTCAAGGCTAGATTTAATAGCATCTACAAGTTGTAATTAACCTTCAAAAACCAATAATGAAAGAATAGCTTATACAATCCTATATTAGTAGGAGATCACTTATGTAATATTATAAAATATCTATCACTTCTAAGTAGGGTTTCTATATGGAGCACATGAAACAGATAGCAAATACTGCTTTTTTCCAAAGGTGTATGGAAAGCTATTCTATATATTAGGTTTGCTGACAATCAAAGGTTTGGAAATCTTTCAACTACTTCATTGAATCTGAAAAACTTGTGGATAATAGATAGTCACCAAAAATTTAAATAATTCTTTACCGTGGAAACTTTATCTTTGTTTTACCAGTTTATTATTTTTGTTCATATTTATCAAGTAGAAATGTTTCCAAATGAGACCTGGAGGTGAGAGCTAAAAGTACTCAATAAATTGTCAAATGAAGGCCAAAAGCTCAGACAGGAGGGGAAAATGAGGACCGGCTTGGGATTGACACCTGTTTCTGATGTGGTTTCACTTTCTCCTCTCTGCATTAGGGTTTTCCCATTCCTTTTTGTTTGTGTTTTACTCCATACAATTCCCTGTGCAAAGGTTCCCCTCATAACATCCATCTCTGATTCAATATCAACCACTAGTTTGAAATCTGTGTTGTAATGGCATGTTCTTAATGTTCTTCATCATCTTTGTAACTGAACCCACAAATGGACAGCTATTATTGCAAATGGAAAAAATAAGAAACAAACCTCTAAAATAGAGGCTGAATCTTACGTGTATTCACAGGATATGGAAGATTCATTAAGCCTACTTTTATTGACTCTAAGAAATAATCAAATGGACAGCTGTGTACTCAAGAGTCACTCTCCAGTGGCTAAACTACTACCTTCACCAAATACTAATCCCCGAGTATACTTGGGTCTCTTTCTGAATTCTCAATTACGTACAGTGGGTTGACAATCTACCACACTGTTTGAATTATTATAAACTTGTACATTTTGTGACCTGACAAAGCAAGTCTTGCTTTGGTTCCTCATGTTTCAAAGTAACCACAGTTTATTGGATAAGATATACTTTGCATCTTTCATTGGCAAAGGGGCTGCATTACTGCATTAATCAATGATGGGTGTAAGTTCTATGGAAACTTATCAAGGAAATACTAACTTTATTTTTATTTTTAAAAAATTCAATTAATTAACATACAGTGTATCATCAGTTTCCAAGTTAGATAGAGTTCAGTGATTCATCAGAGGAGTTTTATTAAAAAAAAATCACTATGATATTTGGCATGAAGGTTTGACTTTATAAAGATAAAAATCTTTATAAAGATTTTTTATAAAGATTAAAAAATTACACTATTTTCATAAGATTGAATAGAAACTGCTTTTTTTTTTAGAAACTGCTTTTTATCAAACATCACTACATGGTATTTTAAAATGTATTGACTACTAGAATACTATGCATGTACTTACATCATTTATCTATAAAATCCAATGTTGAACTGAGTCCCTAAAATTAAAATTAATTCCTGCCCTAACACTGCATCATCTATGAAAACGTTTATTAGCACAAATGTATTTTAGAAGCTAGAGATAAAAAAAAAAAAAAAACTAAACTAAACTAAAAACAAGGAAAAGGTCCAAAGTTCCAAACCTCAACCACCTCTACTTTCCCAGAGAAGAAATCAACTGCATTCAGAACATGCACGGTGACAAATACTGCTGTTGGTTCCTCTCTGTTCAGGGAATCTCCCAGGGGCTACTAGCCCTCCACCTCCCAGGACCATCAAAGAGACTGGCTGTGCAGTAGGAGGGGACAAATGAGCTTCAATTTTTCAAAGAAATCCCTTATAAACTAGCCTGTATTTCTGGACTAACAGCAATTTTTACTACTTATATCTAAGGTTAGATAATTAAAAGTAGATACGATTGGTAAACAGTAGTCATGACCAGTAGGTTCACTTAATGAAGCAATAAAAAAGCATCCAAATTATAAAAAAGCTAATTTGGATAAATAGATTTGATGGAAAAGAAACACTAGAAAAGACTATCATAATTTATTGAAAAAAAAAAAACAAACCATGATTTTTTGATGAAAAGGGAAAATCTGATTCACTGACATCTATTAAATTGAAACACCAGGTGGTAGACACTGTTTCTCATCTGCCTTTCCATACACAATTCAATGACCACTTTATTCATGAAACTTCTTTTTTTTTTTAATGTTAAGGCTTCAACTTACAATCAGATCAATTTTAGAAATACTTCAAAAGTTATCTTATTTATAGGCTTACCATTGGGTTATTTTTCTCACAAGACACTAGATGGCAGTGGACAGTAAACGAATTTAGAGCTATGCAGATGGGCAGGGACAACTGGCCCCAGATTCACCTGAACTTTCAGGAGAACTAACTGCATGATTCTTAAGATTAACCTGCTGAAGTTCATTATGCAGTTGAGGAAGTCACGCCATTACTTTAAAGTACTTGCTATAAACTGGCTTTCAACACCAATGTATGAACTGTTGTGAACTTACTTTATGAATTAAAAAATGTAGGGGTTGAAAGATTTTAGCTTTTACAAAATACTCTTAGAGATAACACAAGAAAACCTATAATGGGGATCCCTGGGTGGCGCAGCGGTTTGGCGCCTGCCTTTGGCCCAGGGCCCGATCCTGGAGACCCAGGATCGAATCCCACGTCAGGCTCCCTATATGGAGCCTGCTTCTCCCTCTGCCTGTGTCTCTGCCTCTCTCTTTCTCTGTGTGTGACTATTATGAATAAATAAATAAAATTTTTTTTAAAAAAAGAAAAACTATAATGATAATATTATAAAGTATGTTATGTGTCAAAGACTCGGTATGAAAGAGAGAAACTGTAAAAAAAAAAAAAGATTAATTAACCAAAATCTTATCATGGAAAAAAATAGTTTTTCCAACAAATATTTCAAAAACACCCTGTATGCGTCATGATGTGAATCTCTGCAAAGGGTCAGGACACACAGATACGCTATTTCCTCTCCCAACTCCAAATTTCTCACAGACTTCTGCTTCTGCCCAAGAACGCCCTTTATTTCCTCTTCTACTAAGGAAGAGGTCTTCCAAACCCTACTTAAACAGAGCTAATCATCTGAGTTGCTTTTAGTGTG